TTGAACTGTGTTTTTTAGCGAGAGGCTGAAGTTGCTCTCACCTGTAGCATCCTTTGCATGTATTACAGAGTTAAAATCCCCACCAAGGATGACATGTTCGGCTGCATGACGGAGGTAATAAGAAATTGTCGAGTTAAAGAACTCTTCTCTGGAAGCTCTATTCTGAGTACCAGAGGGAGCATAAACATTGATGATAGAGACCGTATCATGTATTCTGAGAGAAATTAACCTAGAATCTAAGCTTCTTTCTATCTGTGAGAATCTAATATAGTTTTTCAACGCAATAGCGGTTCCTCTTCGAGAATGATCTACATTGAATATAATGTTAAATCCTGGAATAGTCATTGTATCAGTTTCTATCTCCTGAAGAAGCAAAATATCTAATTCCGATGTCTTAGTAAAATGCTGTAGAGCGTTAAGTTTGTTTTGGTTAGTAATGTTATTAATGTTTATCATTGCAATATTGTAACTTATTGAATCCATTTCTAAGCGTACTTTGTTGTTATGTAACTTACTGTTAAAGCTTCTTGGGGAGCCCTCGGCTGCGTTTCTCAACCACAGTGAATGCATTAGAATCATCACTGGTTCCACCGTCGTCTTGTTTATGTTTTTCCGCTTGTCCCTTTCCGTCGATATTGATGACCTTCAGCAACGCTTGCATAACACCACCAGAAGAGGTACTAGGAACAACGTTTTCTGTAGCCGAGTCAGTTACCTGTGCCACAGGTGTTGGATTAGATATGCTTGATGATTCCAAAGATTCATTCATTACAAACTCTCCCTTAGCAGCAGCCATCGATTGTTCGGGTTGAACAGGATCAATCGACTGGGCGTTTGATGTAAGGTTCACTGTAGTGTCTGAGGTTGCCTCGTTTAGCGTCGTCTTAGAACCTGTTGATGGACTAGCTTCTCCATCTTGTCCAGAAGGGTTCATGTTGCCAGCGGTATGGGAATTTCCTGTTGAATTGCCACGCACAGCACCAGCGTAAGAGGATCCTCTTAGCCGCTCGTTCAACCCGATTTTCTGCGCCAACAGCTTCTTATTTTGGACGCATGAGATTCCAGTACGCATAAACTCTCCGCAGTGGCGGCATGTTTGTCTTTGTTTTGGGTACGTCACGTAAGTGGTATCCCCATCGATCGTGATATATGACTTGATCGGTTCTCTGAGAACCATTCTGACTTGACGAATGCCAGATGAGAAACCAGGAAAGTAGTGTTTGTCACTCCATAGTAACTCTTGCACGGAAACGACTTCACCGTAAAACGACATGTGCTTTCAGATCTGCTCATCCGTTGTATTTTCGGATAGGTCATGTAGTCTCACATCCACACAACCATCCGCCATACGAATTCGCAGCTTGTATTTTACTCCCTTGACTTCATAGTCAAACTTGTTGTCGTATTGGTCAACTATTCGTTGAGCAATAGCTTGGTCCGTTACTTTGACAAAGGCGCAGTCGTCTGTGTGGCTCATCTGTATTTTCACCAGCTGAGTACGTGTGATGCCGAGATGTACTCCAACAAATGTGTGTACCTCTTCTGAGGTTGGTTTTTTTTTGTAGGTTCGCAAATTCCACGCGAAACGTGTTTTCGCGGATCTTGCGGCTGTTCATCTCAAAACGGTTGTCTGAGATGGGGTGGCGTACGAAAAACAAATCTCCGGTCTCGAACCGGTTCGCTCCGGAACGCGACACGCCGTGAAAACCTTAGTAGCCCGGTACTTTTCACAACCGAATCACGAACGAACGAGACCACGTATTGATTTAGTGACGACACTGAAAAAACACTTCAGGCCAGATGTGAATAAGATTTCCGAGCGCTACCGTTTTCATCAGGCTGATCAAAAAGCGGGTCCTTCAGTTACAGAATATGTAGTGGAGCTTAAAGCGCTCGCGGAAAAGCGTGAGTGCAATGCGTTTTTGCAAGAAGCGCTACGTACGATAGCAGGCTACGTACTCACCTGAAAGATTTATCATTCGACAAAAGGGTCGATGAAGCGTTGAACTGGGAATTGGCGGAAAAAGGGTAATAAGGTGCGCGAAAACGTGTTGAGTGCGCACGTGGTGCAATAGGTAAACCAAACCGAAGCAGAAGCAAAAGTCGGTCAAAATTTGCTAGTAGTAATGGCGGTCAGAAAAATCAAAATGTCCGAAGAAAAGTCTGTGAGAAATGTGGGCGCGATCATGAACTGGGAAAGCGTCCAGCGAGAAGTTGGAAGTGCTTCACGTGTGGCAAACGTGTGTTACAGCAAAAGTTTGAAGCAGTACCGTAGTTATAGTCAAGAATCCAGGAGGAACCAAACCGTAGATACGGTTGATACTGGCGAGAACTTAGTGCAAGAAATCGCTAACCTCCGCATGCAGCTGAACTCGGTGGAAAATGAAACTCCATTGAGAAAAAGCAAAGTGGTAACGGAAGTGTTATACGTTGAAGGTCGACCAGTTGAATTTGAAATAGATAGTGGAGCCTGTGCAACGGTGATAAACGATTGCTTGTATAAAAAGTGTTTTTCGAACATTCCATTGTTCAAGATTAACGATGAATTTTCAACCGTAACGGGACAGGGAATCAAGGTAATCGGGGGATTTAGTGCAAATGTAGTGATCGAAAGTAACAAGGCTTTCAGACCGCTGCTTGGACGCACATGGATGGATATCATCTGGCCCGGATGGAGGAGTAAATTCAAGGAGAGCATCGTGAGTATGAACCATGTTGAATGTTCCCTTATTGATTCCATGCGATTGAAACATCAAAATGTTATTTGTAACGACAATACTCCCATTCGAGATTTCGAAGCGGAGGTTATCATGGAAGATAACGTGAGTCCTATCTACCACGTGGCTTATTCGCCTCCTTTTCAACAACGCCCTGCCATTGAAGCCGAGTTGAACAGACTTTGTGAGGAAAATATTTTAAAGAGAGTCTCACATAGCAAGTGGGCTTCTCATATAGTAGTTGTACCCAAATCCCATTGGGAGTTTGAGGTTATGCATTGATTGCAAAGTGACAATTAATCCTTATTTACGATCTGAACATTACCCGTTACCGAGGATTGACGACATTTTCGCTCAATTGGCGAATTGTAAATTATTTTGCGTGGTTGACCTTCGTGGGGCATATCTTCAGCTGAATGTTTCGAAGAATTCTCAGCAATATCTCACGATTAATACACACATTGGACTTTTTCAATATGTTCGATTGCCTTTCGGTGTGACAACTGCACCATCGATCTTCCAAAGCATAATGGAACAGATTTTGGGGAAAGTATAGGGTTGCGTGTGCTATCTAGACGATGTGCTAATTGGAGCAAGAACATTAGAGAAGTGTAGACGTATGTTAGACCATGTTCTAGAGCTCATGAAGTCGGTACGACGTGAAGATAATCGTTGAAAAATGTAAGTTTTTCCTGGAATCGGTGGGTCACACCATTCGCAAAGATGGCATTAGACCAAATCAATCCAAAGTAGATGCATTTGTGAACGCCCCATCTCCAAAAAATAGTAGTGAATTGCAATCATACCTTGGGTTGATAAATTACTATTCGAAATTTATTCCTAACATCTCAGCAGAACTTCGGAAAAATGTAAATTTTGTCTGGGATAGAGATTGTGAACAGTGCTTTTCATGAAGCAAACAGCTTATTTTGAAGAATAATCTGTTACAGCTCTATGATCCTCAAAAACCGATAGTGGTCGCGGCAGATGCTAGCCCTTATGGTGTGGGTGCTGTTCTATCTCGCATTGTAGACGGAGAAGAAAAACCCGTTCTTTTTGCCTCATGTACCTTATCTCCGCCGAAAAAAATTACTCACAGCTCCATCGGGAAGCTTTAGCCATATTTTTTTTTTCGGTGAAGCGTTTCCACAAACACATTTACGGTCATCGCTTCAAGCTGGTATCAGACTGTGAGGCGTTGAAGGAAATTTACCACCCTCGGAAAGGAACGTCGGTGATTTAAGCGTCTAGGTTGCAAAGGTGGGCAGTAATATTGTCAATGTACGCCTATGAGTTTGAGTACAGACCAAGTCGATATTTAGCGAATGCTGATGCCTTGTCCAGATAACCAGTGTCTGGTAATACAGGTGTTGAGGAACTATCCATAAATAGACTTGAGCAATATCCAGAATTACTATTAAAAACGTGTGATGTAGTAGATTTCACGGCAAGAGATGAAACTCTTACACAAGTATTTGATTTCGTTTTGCTGGGATGGCCTAATCAAGTTCCGGTGCATTTAAAATATTATTATAATTTGCGAAAGTCGTTAAGTTTTCAAGATAATTGTTTATTTTATGGTGACCGATTGGTTGTTCCGAAGATTTGGCAAATTTTGCTAATTTCGACGGAAAAGCTAAACCAACATCATCTAGACTTCTACCAGAAATACATTGACCGTTTCATTTTAAAACATGGCAATCAAAATCAATACTCAAATATTAATTGCTTTGAAAATCTACGTAGAAAAATAATTATGAACTAAAAACAGCCGCGAACAATCTTCCTCGTTTTATTCTGAGCCAACTTGTCAACATGCCGAATGTCGATTTATTGTGATATTTCACCAACATCAAAGCAGAATCTGCCTTACACCAATTCGGCATACTTCGCTTTCACTTCGGCATTCCCCATCAAATCCGTTTTCCGACAGTTTCATACAACTTGCTTCATAGCTCTGAAAATTAAGTTGTGACCGAAATCATCCTACCACCTCTTCATTTCGATCTAAACATTTCTATATAATTGTCCATTCCTTTCCGAGTTTATTAGTAAATAATCTTCCGCTGAGCATCATCAAACATCTTTCCCATTGACATCCATCGTCCACTAGCTCTCGGGGTGAAGACACAGGTGCAAGCCTCTCACCCCAAACGACCGCAATTTGAATTTTCTAAATTCACCTCACCTTCCAGTAGGTTATTTTTTTACATCTCTAATCCTCCAATTAACCTTCGAAAGCCACCCGACGATGTCACTTTTGGTTGACTAGCGCAAACCTACCTGGACTTGTCTGCCAACTGAGTCCTCCGATGAACATTTTTCTGGAAATAAAAGAGAAGACGGGGAAAATCGATTAGTTTGCACAAGCTGAGACTGATAAGCTAGCACGCTCTCTCTCTCCCTCTTTCACTCGTTCTAATTACGCATAGGTACACTTTACATCATGAATATGTATTGCCATGGAAAGAAGCTCGGCCGCTGTCTCTCCAGGACCGGTGATTCTTTCAATAAAAATTCATTAAAAAAGACTAGACCACTCTGTTGCAGCCAGTCCGCATACTAGGCAGGGTATGTTTGTCCACGTCTGCCGCCATCCAACCGGCCAGGTTGCATGGAATGGCCTTTACAAGACCCCGACTGCTACCATTGTGAGACAGATACCTACTGTGTGCTAGAGTGTAGTTTTAATGTATTCCAAACACCAAAGTAAACACAGCTGTCTCCTAAATCCTTTGGCGGAAGAGCGAGCGACGTCGCTGAGTGCGAAAAAAAAAGCGAGCCAACCCCCTGCTAACCTATCAACTTGTCTCCAACCCCGGCAGCACAGCGAGGACGACGACGACGCAACCATCATGATGATGACGACGATGTGACGGTGTGCACACCACCACCGCACCTCGCGCACGTGTTGAAGACGACGACGGAACTGTGTGTGTACAATTTCATTTATGAATTATAAACGATCATGTTATGTATCGCTGAAACGTGTGCATATTATAAATGATGAGACGGAGTCGTCGTCGTTGTCGGTTTGGCCAGGCTGGCTGTGCTGGTTCCAGTGACCATCCTCGTCAGCTCCAGCAAACGAGGGCTGGCAGGTTTGAAAAGACACACCGTCGCCATCGTCATCGTTAGCTACCGGGCAGACAGCAGAGGTCCTCGAAAGTGTGACACCGTGTCGCTCTGAGCAGCCCGGAAGTGTCCTATCTGTCCAGTTTGGAACGCGAGTGGGACTGGAGGACGGGAAAAAATGAGTTTTTCTTTTTCTGTTTTTCATACGGTCTGACACTCCACTAGAAGGGTTTTTTTTCCTCTAGTAGTGGGTGTGGGTGTGGGTGTGATAAGCGAGGTTAAGCAAGGGGAAAATAATTTTCATTGCCAACCAACCAACGCGAATAGGTGTGAGTGGAAGCTTGGCCCAGCGGGGAAATGTATTTGCTGGTTTTCCAGTATATGGTAAATATGTGTCATAATTTGTGGGAATGCTTTTAATTCCATTGCAAACTTTTTTAAAGGGGTATATTGAAATCGTAGTTTTTTAACTAGATTTTTTATATATTTTAGTTAGTTTTTGACCATACCAATCGAATAAATGTAAAGGTCATGGAAAACTCCTGACTCCAGATTTAAGATCGACGGAAAACAAATCAAAGAAAAAAAAACCACGAGGAAAATGGGTCTCATCTCTACTAGACGTAGATTTAAGTGAAACATAATATGGTATGAAAATGTATTTAACGGCTCCGTAAAGCTCCCGTGATTGAGTCTTTGAAATAAACGGAATGTACTCAAACCTGGACACATTCGCACAAATGCGTAGTGGAGCCGAGAAAAATATACGGAGCCGTCCGCGGCTGCCATAACGAACTTATCGTCAGCGATCCCTGCTAGTAGACTACGATATTTCAGGCAACATCAGAGATGCACTCAGCGACAACCCGGCAAAGATTGCTGCAGTAATGATGTGCTTCGTGATCTAATCTCTTCACCTTAAAACCTAACGACCACAACGCCAATAGATTCACTCTATTCACTAACATGAATTACGCTCTGCGAACCTACGCTGTTTGACCGCAATGAAACATGACCTTCCACATAAGATGTTATTGAATCCCGCTACCAACACAACAACTTTCGAATATCTCACAGAAGGACGCGATTAACCAAATTTGAATTTAGTATGGAAAACCACAAAAATATGCCGGAAAATGAGGTAAATTGACGAAAGTTTTACTCACTCTAAATAGGAGTAGCACCGATAGACTGAGTGAATCCAAACTTTACTTTTCTCATATTCGGGATTTTTTCCTGGACGAACCTGGAAAAACCTGGAAAAACATAAGGCAAATTTACTCACCGCTAAGTGCCTGCACTTTATGTGATTTATGAGTAAACTAAACTCTAATATGGGACGTTCTCATTCACCGTGTAGGCAACAAGATGACTAGCTTGGGAATCTTCTTTCTCTGGTTTTTAGAGACGAACTAGCCTACGGCTGAAAGTTTCCTTCATAAAGAAATCTAATCTAAACCCTGCTAGTAGAACTCATCTCCAAAATCGGTCGTATTGGCCCTCATGGTGGAATATACCTTCCTACAAAAGTTTCTTGTACGACTGCAGATGCGGTTGTCCTCCCCGTTCTGACTGTTCTCCGAGTACAACAAGAGTTCCTTCAATTTCGACTGGAACGAATCTGGTAATACCATAGAGGTAACCCTAAGACCAGCAAGTCCCGAAGGAACGTCCACAACTTTTAGGCTCAGCTTTAGTACTATCTTCGGTTCCAAGCTAATCGCTGTACTCCTCGAAACGTAGAAAAATTCACGAACCCCTCCTTTTATCTGTCAAACTTACATAGCAAATCAAAACAAACATAGTGTAGTACTAGAATTTCGACTAGAATGGGGTACGTTAATCGATTTGCTTGGGACCAATAGGCTAGTAAAGTAGTGAGCCAGTTTTAAATCGTTAGTTTCCACCGGTTGGTTATACCATAGAGGTAACTCTAAGACCAGAAGGTCCCGAAGAATCGTGCTCAACTTTTTGGCTCAGCTCTGGTACTATCTTCGGTCCCAAGCTAATCGATGCACCCCTCGAAACATATGGAAATCCACGAACCCCTCATTTTATCTGTCAAACTTTCATAGCGAATCAAAACAAACATAGTGTAGTACAGGAATGTATACAAGAATTGGGTACGTTAGTCGATTTGCTTGGGACCAATAAGCTAGTCAAGTAGTGAGCCAATTTAAAATCGTTAGTTTCGTATTGATTGTTGGTAAAACAGCGCAGTGAAGACACTTATTCGTTCTCCGAGGTAGGCTAATGTAGTTTCAGCCTCCAATTTTCTCCATGATTAAAGTTATTTTCAATTGTTGATATCTTAAAAAACGAAGATACACTTCTTGCAGCAATCGAAAGGTGATGTTTCCATGCATATTTTGTTGGTGAAATGAAAGGGTAATACAGTAAAGTTTCCATGTTATCATGGTCGAACATTTGATCGGTGGATATTTTTTTTTAAATCGTGATATATTTGAAACCCATCAAATATAACAATGCAATAGCTGGTATTCTATGCGATAAAAAGGTTAAATTTGTATCCACAAAATGTTATGTATCCATTTATTAGTCTTGATACAAAACATAACTAATTTATTGCTGTAGTAATCTTCTCATTGCAATTTCAATCACTACATATTAAGAAGACTGGCAACTCAATACAGTATTGACAACAAATACAATAGCGCGGCGCTTGAGCATGAGAAATTCGCTAACTTCTCTTTTGAATTAGGCATGTTTGCTATCATATTCATTCACAGCATCAACCTTTAAGAGATAGGTGGTGAGATTATTTCTGTCCTGTCCATTTTTGCCTTAATTCTGTCTGAACATAATAATGTATTGCAAACACTTAGATAACATGATAATACTATGCGCTTTTCAACATACATTGCATACAGAAGAGTTGCAATTTGAAATTTAGAGCTGCGAGTTGAAATTCGAGAATAGAATAGACTAGAAATTCCTTCTAAAGTTGTATGTGTAAGTCACTTTAACACATGTTAGGTAATTCGTGACTTGACGTTTCCGTTGCGAATGGTATGCAAACATTTGGATTTTACAAAGATTTTAAAAAAGATATATTAAATTGATATTGATATAACGGACTTGCTACTTCTGCTCGGTGATTTTAATCAGCCTGGACTTATCTGGTCACCCTCAGCCAGAGTTATGCCTTTCCAGATCCGATTGCATCTTCAACTACACTCAGAATAATTTTCAAGTCAATGCTTCGTGAAAACATACGTAGATTTTTCTATTGTACTCTTCACATAAGAGCTACGTGATTCTCATATAGGGGCACTCATTTCATGATTCTTTTATCAATATTTTGACACTGCTTATACAAATATTTCTATAATATGTAGATAAAATCTTTGCTGTATTAATAGTAATAATAGTAATATTCCTTTAATTTATAAAAAAAAATATAAATACACCGCATCAGCATTTTATTATGTTCGATGCCTAGATGCTTTATTCCCTTGAAGAAGAAACTGCTGGACAGCTTGACATCATTCTGCTGACTACGATGAAACAGTCAGTTTGGTTTTGTCAAAGAGAATCAAATAATCCATAATTTTATACTCACATCTTGCCACTTTCTTTAAAAATACCGAACATTATTATGCCGCCATGATTTGCACCGCTCTGAGTTTACATGTGGACATCTCATAAGCTTTACGTGAAACGCACATAGACTCAGTGTTATGTGAAAATCACGTACATTTCATTGATTATGTACGTGTGTTAAACAGGAACACCCTGTGAAATTCAAGGGACATCACGTACATTCTACGTGAGCCACGTAAAACTTAGAGGAGAGGAAAAAGTGAGCACTTACGTGATTTTTCACGTAGCTTCAATGTGTAGATTATTTTGAGTGTACTCCTGCCAGCCGTTTGCTTTTCATGGACTGAGCCAGATAAACCTTGTTCCCAATTTCCAGTCTCGTTTACTTGACTTGGTTTTTGTAAGCGAAAGTCCAGTTCTGAACTGTGTCGTCGCTGAAGTGCCTCACGTCATCGTTCCTCTTGACAATTTCCACCCTGCTTTGGATATATCTATCGCGAACGGATCTCAAATTCGTTTTGATGAAACCTCGACTGCCAATCGTCTCAATTTTCGGAAGACCGATTTCCGTTTGCTGAGGCGTTCCTTGTCCCGGATCGATTGAAACTTTTTGAATGACCTTGATATCGATACAGCAGTCGCTCGCTATAGTTTCCTTTTGCGCGATTGTGTTTGTACTTCAGTA